CATAAACTACAGGACAGGTATCACTTCTTGAAACACTCAAAATGTCAAAAACAAAGAGTAAAAGTAAAGCTAACAGACCGCAGATCCCTCAGGAATAACAGAACTTGTTATTTTCTTCTCTCCAGGCTGTTTTTTGTCTGGTCTTTGTGCGGTGCATGTCTTTCTACAGTGACCCCCCCCCCTCTCTCCCTCTCTCTCTGTCTTTCTTTCTTTCTCTTTCTTTCCTCCAGGGTAGAGCACTGGAAAAAAAGATAGACTCGTACAATCTCCCTCACTCGTCCTCCCTCATTCACATATAGGAATCATCCATCAAAGGATCTACAAATCACTGCTACACACAGATACACACACACACACACACACACTCACACACAGATACACACACACAGAGTCACAGTAATGGGAGTCCTGCAGATGCCCACGGTCCTGCTCTCTCTCTCTCTTCTGGGTAATTACGCTCTCTGGCTGGGGTCTGGAGGAGGAAGAGGGAGGAGGACGAGGCTGTACAAACACAATAACTGAGCATTTATGTGCACACAAATATAACTTTGTGGAAGTATATGTTTAGGAAAAAATTATAGAATATGTTATTTACAACCTTCAGTAAAGTGGCACTGATATAACTGCTGAAACCCTTGTGAAAATTAACCATGGTTTTATTATAGTAAACGTGTAACCATGTTTTTTGGCGTATTGATTACCATTTGTATAACCACAATTGAATTAGAAATACCACAGTTAAACTATGGTTAGTTAAGCGAAACCATGGTTAATTAATTATTGTAAGGGAAGAATAAATACACTGTAGCTAGATCTCAAACGGTGGATCATTTATCAGTGTTAAATCAAACTGCTCAGTGTTAAAGCATTAAGCCATATAGAGGTAACAGAATAACTTACTATAAAGCTGCTTTGAAAGGATGTGTATTGTGGATGCTATACAAATAAATGACTTGACTTGAATGAACCAAGTCGAATCTTTCCTTACTACAAGGATGCAAGCGATCAAATAAATAAATGAGCTTAATCCGCACAAGCAGGTATCAACGAGCTGCCGCAAATATATGCTTTTCTTCTTTATTTGTGGTGTGAGCGCTTACAGTTTAATGCAAATCACTGCATCTATAATATAAGAAATCTACAGAGATCAACTATAAAGCCACATTTTATTTAAGTTGTTTACCATACCGAGTTTCAGTTATTTTTATCCGAGTTCCATAGTGAATGTAGACATTTTATATCATTTTATGTTTATATGATTCAGCTTAAGATCACGTTGGAATGATTGACGCAGTGTCTGCATGAAATACCTCTGCTTTTTCAGCTTTCTATGGCAAGGTGGCGGCATTTGTGAAAAAAGGGAGAACCTGAAACAAAAATATAAAGATCATTGTGTTACTTCTAATACAGAAATCAGATGTCATTGTGCTGTTAAAATGACTGGTATTTCTGCAGGACCTGAAATGTCTGGTGTGAGCAGTGATGATGGAGAAGTTCACAGCATCTCACTGTCTCATCAGGACCGGATGCTGCTGTGCTCTCCTCATCCTCCGTGACCCCAGAGCCAGCGAGAGCATCTAGAGAAAGACCAAAAGACACTGAGGATGTGAGTTTAGTTAAGTTTGTCCTGCTGGTTTGTTCATACAACATCAGTCAATGAAACCTGCGTTTCAGAAGCTTCGAAAGCATCATCAAATAAAGTCATGAAGCTTCTGAAAGTCCGGCTCCTCTGAGAGATATTGTATGAACAGAAACCAGCAGGACAAACTTAAAGGGGTCATATGATGCGATTTCAAGTTTTCCTTTCTCTTTGGAGTGTTACAAGCTGATTGTGCATAGATAAGATCCCTCAAGTTGCAAAGACTAAAGTCTCAAAACCAAAGAGATATTCTTAAGGAGGGGGCTTTGTAGAAAACGAAGCGTTTGAGAGAGGCGGGGCATAGAGGACCTACAATAATGTACAGTATTTGAAAAATAATGTGTTTTTTGAACATTAAAGCATGTCAACATATTCTGTTACACCAAATACACAAAATAATGATCTTTAAAAAAGCATCATATGACCCCTTTAAAGAAAATCACCTTTTGTGTAAACATCAAACAGCGTGGACTCTGAGGCGAGTAAATAATGACTGAATTATTATGTTTAGGTGAACTAACCCTTTAAACCCCCCAAATAGAAATTGTATGAAATATATTTATACATTTATAATAAAAATAAATAAAGTTTTGAAATAAACGTACATATAAGCAGCTTTATTGAGCGTTTGTGCCCGAGACTCTTACAAAAAAAGGTTTTACAAAAATCACATTCACTTTTATTTATATTTACCTTTCTGCATTTGGCAGATGCTTTTATCCGAAGCGACTCGCGGTGCTCTTATTACAGGGACCCCGATCCCCCTGAAACGAGCTGGAGTAAAGAGCCTTGCTCAAGGACACACCGCTGGTGAAGAACCGGTTCAGTGCTCTAGCCCACTACACCACAGAAGTATTGAAGCTATGACAAAAATTAGCAAGTAATTATAAAGATATTAAATGAAATTTGGCAAGAAATGGAAAGCTGACAACATGAATTGTAAAAGGTTTTATTCTGTGTAAACAGGTGCTCGTGGAGAGCAGCACACGGATGTTTGGAGCAGACACAGACTGTGCACTCAGGCAAGGACAGCCTCGATGTCTCTTCCCCATCCATGATCAGATTCAGTCTGACTGCAGCAGTGATGGACGGCAGAGACAGCTGAAGGTGGACACGGTGGTCTTCATCAGAATAAAGCTGCAGAACTGTCTCAGCTGTGTTGAGATGACAGTAGGATGTGGGGTTCACCGCCTGCAAATACATGATCGTTAGAACGATTACTTCGAATAAAGCTTTGTTTCATGTGTTGTTCACTTGTATATGTATTTGTGATGGTTACTTTTATTCCTTCTTTTACTCATTTATTCATGTTTACTATAGTTGTCAGTAAATAAAATATAATTATTTGATTAACTTATGCATTAATTATGCATTAATTCATTGCTTGACTGAAAATTGAGATGTGTTCACCTTGGCTGCATTTGTCTAGTGTGTAGCCATATGACAAAAATTACTGGCTTGTTTTACTAAAACATAATTTTCAGTATATATATATATATATATATATATTTATATTTATACATATCTACTAGTG